TTTTTTATGCTAAAATGCACGCACAAGCACACTGTCCTTATACAAGCCAACAGTTTACTTATGTTTCCCTCTATGTGAGCAGTACAGAGCCAAATATTTAATATCTGACTGTCGGGTTTTAAATAGCAGTGTTTTGTCTTTACTTTCGGCTGATGCAGTGCTCTCAGTGTGTCTTACCCTATAGCTTTGTTTGTGCTTAAAGCTTTTGTCGTTTCTGGCAGCACAGATTTATGTTAATGACTTATTCAGAGAAGGCACCAGAGCTGCACTCGTGTCAATTACACATTATATGGATGCTTAGTTAAAAAGCCACCTATCCCTGTTTACTGAAATGCCCCAAACTGTGACCCGAAGAGATCAGAGATATAGTGTGTGTTTTATGATTTTTTTGGGTACATGTTTGATTTCATATCTATGAAAATGACTGCTACCAAGAATATAGATATTTAGATATAATTAATAAATATAAATATATATATTGTGTGTAAACCTTGAATGTAGCATCTATTTAACTGTGCTGACATGCTGAGGTTTAATAGTGTACGTTGAAATGATTATGCTAAAACATGATGTACCAAAGCTTTCAGGATAGATTGCAGAAGCTTAGGATGGATTTTAAGAGCTGTAAATTGTATCTGAAGTGTCAGATAATATTTTGTTCTCTGAGTTTTGCTGTCTCGCTTTTACACAATATGCTCACAGTGTTAAAGTCAAAAGCCAGGACTTCAGCATGGAGGCGTCTGTTAAACTATGCTGCATGGCTTTGTGTAGATTTTTTCTAGCGTTCATTTGTCTATACATACATGATTTGGTATGTGTGAGTGAATCTGTGTTTGTGTGTGTGTGTGTGTGTCCACCACAGAGATGCGATGAATGACACAGCTTGGCCTGTCTTGTAATAGAATGTAAGAGTGGCACTTTCATGCTTGTCAACAATCTCTAAATATACCCACCGACTGGGAGGTGCACGCTAACACACACACAGACACACACAGACATTTAGACAGGCCTGCGGTTTTGACTGCTTTTCTCTCCATCTCCATTAGAGAGGAAAAAAAACTGCTTTGCTTCCCGATAGTTTTGCAGATACCCCTGCACACACACACATACGCGCGCACACACACCAGTCACAGTCGACAGGATATTTTTATAACAACAATTGGATTCCTCTCCGTTCCATTCCAAAACTCAAGTCGGCACATTGGAAAACTTGATTTGACAAGTTTCAGCGCCGCTTTGGAGCAGCAAAAAAGCGTCAGTTACACACTCGAAGCAGCCATGCGGGAAAAATATTTATTCCAAGCAGTCAACAAAAAGGAAGGCTCCGATAAAAAAAAAAAAAAAAGAAGCTTGCTCTTTGTCACTAGTGTAGTTGTTTGGAGCTCAATTTCCCTCCTGCGTCTCTGAACCTAACATTCCAAGCTGTTTAGGTCTCTATACTCCACATGTTGATGAATGAGGTAATCCACTGCAACATCTGGGCGGCAGAGATAGTGATCCTAACTTATGAAAAGCGTCAGATTATGGCTGACCTGAAGTGATGTCTTGCATTCATGATTCCACCATTAAAATGTCTCCAACTCTTGTTTTTTTTTTTTCTTTTAGCTAACAAAGCAATCATAAAATTCAATGATTATCTTAAGAAACCAATAATAACGTTTATGGCCACATTCACCAGTTATCCTATGTGGAATCTGCGACTCCACCTGCTGCCCACCTCCCAGTAACTCATAATTTCTGAGTAAGATTCCCTCTCAGAATGATGTAAATGCACATTGTTGTTGACACCGCAATTTCGCAGATTGGTACAACATTGTCAGTTAAAGTGCAGACTCGACGTGAAGAGCCCCTCTTGCTGTTTGTATTTAATATCGCCCTGACAGCTGTATCATTCTTGCACACTGTAATCAAATTATGACAGCGTGGTAAATGTTCCCCTGTGACATTTTCTATTATAAAATGCATATACCCGGTGTCAGACATTGTGTGGGTGGTATCCATCAATGGCAAATGGGATTGTAAGTGGCACGGACCGACATTATGCATATTTGCGTTAGATGTAATTGCGCTTGTATATTGATGATATACATAGGTGTATGTCATCTAGAATTATGATTGTTTTTTTAGTGATGAAGTTAAAAAAAATGAAAAAAGCTTTTTGACACTTCTTTTCATGTAATATTACAAATACACAGATTTTAAGGCCTCGAAAACACACACACACACTCATGCTTTTGTGCGTATGCAGGACCACCAAGCCAGAAAGCAGCCAGATTATGTGAGTCACCCTGGGAGATGAGATATGTACCCTTTGCTCTGTTATCACACCCTTTCCTTCCCTCTGTCTTCCTCACCTCTCACTATCTTATCTATTTTCTTCTTCTTCTCCTTGTTTCCTCACCTCTAATTTTTCATCTCCCGCCTTCTCCTCATCTCTCCTCATCTCTCCTCTCGCCCTCCCTCGACTCGCTCCTCTCCTGCTGCGGCCTGTAAGGAAATATCTAGTGTTCTCTTATTGGATTGGCTGCTTCACGTTGGCGGCCCTTCACTCGCTGCCCGCCGGCCTGTTGGGTAATGATAATAAAATTGAAATATCTTAGTACTTATCAGTGTATTACCTTGCTATCAACACCTCAGACACACTCCTATTTTAGAGGTTACAGAGGAGAAAGAGCGATCTGATATACGGCGTGAAGACAGTGGGTAGGAGCAGAGAAAGAGAGGGGGTATACTGAGAGACAGAGGAAGCTGTGGGACAAAGAAAGCAAGTTTTGTTGTGGTCACTTATGGAAGGTGTTATTTCCTGTATCGACTGCGATAGAGGAGAGAGAGCGTGGAAAGGGGCGTTGGTGGGCTAGGAGTGAGGCGTGTAATGCGACTCTGTGGCATCAGTCCAGACCAGAGAGGTGTGTTATTGTAAGCCCTTCTCAACACTCCGTGCTGGTCTACTGTACATTTGCGGTAATGTAAAACATCTCCCCCACCAATCTCTCTGTCTCTGGGCCTTCTCCTTTCTCTTGGCAGTTGTTGTTCTGCATATTTGTGTGTGTGTGTGTGTGTGTTTCTGTGTGGGAGGCAGAGCAGCGTGCCAAAGCCAAGATCAGGTTTGGAAATTGATTTGAATGAGTGTTGTGGACAGCTGATAGCTATAAAAGATTTTCTCCTTTCATTTCCCAGGGAGTTTCTCCTTTGATGTTGGCTGCTAGTCAACACAGCTTTGAACCTTGTCTAGAGAGGCTGCTACTTGATACTGTGTGAGTTTGTATTTGTTGTGTGTTTATGTATGCACAAGGCTTCACGTTTGACCTTTTTTAAGTTGCATGAGTGTCGAATTTTGATGGCACGAGTGAGACTTTAGATTGCTTTTTTGGGGGGGATAATATATACATATACATGGTACACGTCATATCACTCCTGATAAGCTGTTAAATTATGCATATTTTCTCTTAATCTAGCGCTAAATCCCACCGCTGCGTATTTGTAACAAGCACATCTTTACCTATTCTAAATCTTAACATATTGGACCTTTAATAAGGCAGCCACCTTCAAATTGCCCTTTGGGGATAAAAATCTCTGCAGTGTTATGCTGTCGTTTCATCGGCTGCCTCTCTGCGTTCCTCTGTCTGACCAATCGCATGCTACAATCTAATCCCCGGGAGGGAAAGATTCTAGTCTGTTGCCACGGATGCCGAGAGGTCGTGGGGTCAAGTACGGCTAATTTATTCACTCAGTCAGATTTCCTCTGGCTCGTGGATGGCAGATGGCGAGGCCTGATATGATATCACCCATCTGAATCACTCAAGGGAGAAGGGAGGGAGGCAGAGATGGGGAAGAGAGGGAGAGATGGGAGGGATGAGAGGAGAACAGATTGACAGGAGAGATGTAAAAAGAAAGAGAGGACAGATTAAAATTGGGGGGAATTAAAAGTGGTTAGATGGAGAGATAGGGTAGCATAGCCTGTGAGGATGCAGAGTGTATTCGCCCCACCAAGTCGGGGCGCTGAGCTGAACATTGAGCCACACAGGCTGTTATCACATGTGTGGGTGTGGGTGGAAGTGTGGATGTGTGTGTGTGTCCTTATCTTAAGACAAGTGGTTCTGGTCCAATAATATCCTGGGAGATGGTAAGAATAAGCGGCTTAGACCAAGATCTGAGATGGAAGAGGGAGGGAGAATAGCTGGCGCTAGGGAGATGAGAGGAGGAGATGTGGATGGAGAGAAGAGGAAGAAGAGGAGGGGGGGATGGATAGATTAGGATGGAGGACAAGGAGGGGGGCATTTGGAAAGAGATGAGACGTAGAGGTTTGCAGAGATCGTAATGGAAAGATGTGATGTGGAAACAGTTTATAGAAGTTTTTTTTAAAGAGAAGGAGGAAAAAAGAGGAGGGCAAACTGAAAGAAGTTTGTGGCTTGAAAAAGTTCTTGGCTTTTTGTCAAAGGGCAGGGATTTACAGGATTTGATCAACAGTGTCAACTCGAGGACACTTTTTCCCAAGAGGTTTTGAGTTTGTAGCTTCAACAACAGTGCTTAAGAACACTCTGTCCCCCAAAGGCTTTGAATTCAAGCCTTGGCTTCCAGCAGCTTCTTTATTAAAAATTTTCCACTCAGCTCCTCTCCTTTCCACTGCATACATACTGAGAGCAAGGCATCGATCTTTGTTGGAAAAGCAGCACGCCTCTTGTTTCTGAAAGTACCTATCATTAAGGAAAGATGAGGAGGTCTAAGATAAATGTGAGAGGGTGTGCAGAGGGATTTACATTTTTACTGTGGATATAAAGAAACAGATGAGCTGATTTGAAGCCCTCTGCAGGCACAGCCAGGACATTTCTGAACTACCAAAAATGGCGGAATTGACGAGAAGTCTCAAGTAAATACCTGAATATCTAAATTAGTTTATGGGAAGCTTTCAGTTGAAAGGTTACTTTGCACTGAATCTGAAACATTATGCACAGCTCTGAGTCTCAGTTGAAATCTAATGCTTGTGTTTTGTGTGTCCTCAGTTTGGTGACCCCCCTGAAGATGCGGAATCGGCTTTGACGACCTACAGATATCCACCTGTCCCAGAACATTCAACTTAACCAACAAATCCAGCAATCAGGAAGGAGAGAGGAAAAAACGTTATCTAGAACATTCATTGTATTTAATATCAGCACTAACCTAATCCAGACTGCTACTTTAGTGAATGACAGAACATGCCCAATGGCATATACGAGGCATGGAATGATCTGAACTGAACAGAGTTTGAGTTTGGTTATTTGGTTAGAGGCAAAATAGAAAACTTTAGTTCCACTGCAGAGAAATGAACTGAATTCAAGCTAATCTGAACAGACGTTGGCTGAGTCTTCATTTTCTTCAAAAACACTCTTTTCTCACTAAGGGCTGTTTTTGGAGCCCCTTCCTTCAACAAGCCAAAACCTTCAAGTCTCCAACCCGGATTCCCTTACTTCTTCAGACCCTTTCCAAGGGTCTTGGACATTGTTTTTAATCTCATTGAGGAGGAATAATTTCCTCCTTCTGAAATTCCCGCAGCCTTCTTTGTCAATCCAGACATGGACCTCCACCGGGCAGCTTTCAAGATGGAGAGTTCCTCCTACCTGCCCAATCCCCTGGCTTCCCCAGCTCTCATGGTCCTGGCCTCCACAGCCGAAGCTTCTCGCGATGCTTCCATTCCCTGCCAGCAGCCGCGTCCCTTTGGTGTGCCAGTTTCTGTGGAGAAAGACGTCCATTTGCCATTCAACAACGGCTCTTACACTTTTGCGTCAATGTACCACCGCCAAGGCGCTGTCCCACCAGGGTTTCCCAATAGGGACTTTCCTCCATCCCTCCTTCACCTCCATCATCAGTTTGCCCCACCTAACCTGGACTGCTCGCCCATCAGCATGCTGAATCACAGCGGCGTTGGCGCCTTCCGGCCCTTTGCATCGCCTCCAGAAGATCGGGATGGGGCACCAGGAGGGTATCAGTCTGCTTTCACCCCAGCCAAGCGCCTCAAAGGGTGCCTAGATGCAGAGTCTTCACCCCATCTGCGGTACTCTGATGCTGAAGGGAAAGAGTACGACTTTGGTGGTGCACAGATCCCCCCCGGGGGCTCCCCCAGCAGCGCCCTGAAAGCAGTGGAAGACAGTGGGAAAAAGATCTTCGCTGTGTCAGGCCTCCTGTCTGATAGAGAGACTTCATCCAGTCCTGAGGACCGCATTGAACGCTGTAAGTAACCATTCATATCTGTTCCACATCTCGTTTAGCCACATCAAACTATGCAAGCACAAGTGTGACAAACCACAGGAAAAAGTAAATTAGTGAAAACCTAACAGTATGAGCATACAACATACAGTACTAACATTAATGAGGGATTATGGACTGGTGCTTTCAACCTTTATCAACACACACAGTGAAAGAATATCCATTGTAGTTATCCCTCCTGAATTAGGCACCTGGAAAATCTATAACCAGGAATACTGGGGCATTGGTAATGTGTTGGAGGCGTCTAGTGGAACAACACTCAAACACTTTACGTTGACATGTGTGTCACCTTTCTAAACCATGTTGAAAATATCTAACACATTATTGCTCTAAGGGTGTTTTCCAGGATAAACCCGAATAAATCCCCATTTGCTCTTGTACGATGACAAATTTATACACATGCAATGACTGAGCCAGGTTTTTTTTTTGCATTATACATTAAACCTGTTCTAGATATATTGTTTCAGATATGACAGGTGGCAAAATCACAACTTAAAACATAATAATCTTGCATTAAAAAACACCCAAACTGATACAGTGATGCAGAAGGGCAAATTTTTCCCATTATTCTACATGCAATTATAATAGTAAGGCTTGCAAACTAAACAGATTTACACATACAGGCACACAGAGTCCACTGTAATTCTAAACTAACTCAAAGTACAACTTGCTGCAGTGTGTAAAAGAATGCAAATGTTCACACATTAGCATCACACACACCAATAAACAATCACATCAATGTTTTTCCTGTCATCATCTCTCCCAGCTTTCCCTATATCCTTGTTTCAAAAGCCCACAAGCTCCACTGGTCACATTAGCATTCACCAGTGGAAGGATGCCATTTGGCCCTCATGCACTGGGAATCTGATTAGTATGTGAGCATGTGTGTGTGTGTGTGTGTCTGTGTGTGCGTGCATGTGTGAGTGACTGGTTCAGAGACCGGCCATGCTCTTTGCCATCAGCATTCATCATAGCTCCACGCTGGCAGCCCTGTTGCCAAAAGATTTACCCACATACCCAAAAGCTTGGCAAGCCATGTTTGCGTGTGTGCGCGCAATAAAAGGAAGGTGGAAGAGGAGCTGTAAGAATTCCAAGCGCAAATACGCAAGCATGGGCAAACACTCTTCCACAAACAGCTTTTAGCATGAGCGCCGACAGCTCCTACACATGTCAACAAGCTGTAACGGATCCCAGTGACAAATTAGGAGAGAGGCAGACGGCGACGTGCTTATGGTGTATAATTTAGGCAGTCTTCCCTTTTTTGGTGTTTTTAATTATTCAGCTTTTCTTCTTTTAACTTAACACAGTGTCTCACCTTTGTCGGCTTTTTCTACACTCTTCCTTTTCCCAATCCTCTTCCATCTTTGATCTTGTGTGTGTGTGTGTGTGTGTTTGAGGGATGCATCCTTGATGGAACACATGAGAGACAGAGGCGACGACCTGAGACTGATCCGATAAAAAAGACCACTGCGGGAAAGACAGAGAGGGTGAGAAAGAGAGGAATAGAGGGAGGACGAACAGAAAGGAGGAAATTGGGAAGATGACACCCAGTGGTTTTTGCAGGGGGTGGAGGGTAAGAAGGAAAAGAAAGATATCAAAGTGCACAAAATGCAAGAGAAAAGGAAACGAGAACAAAGAGAAGGAAAAGAGAAAAATCTCACAGATTATGTGAGGTTCATTATGTTCCAGATTTAGCTTGAAATCTAGGCCTGTTTCACGTGAAGCTTAACATCTGTTTGTGGCAGCACTAAGGCACACCTGCACTGCCTTGCTCAAGAGAACTCTGAATGGTGAGTAACACACTACGATGTGCTCATAATTCGTGAGCAATAAGACCGAGGGCAGAGACAGAATGGGAGATGGGTACAGGGCTTCTGTGCTGTCTTTTGGAACGGCTGAATCTGTATCTAATCAGGTTAAATCTTGGCACAAGTAGCCGGCACCTCTACCATAGGCTTCTAATGCAATTGGATGTGCAGAGGCACTGCTTACAGCAAAGAATTATGGGTTCTCCTTCACTGGTTTTGGCTATCCAGGGGAGGCGTAAAGAACAAACAACACTTTGGTACAATCCCATGAGAACAGCGCCCTTGCTGCTTCACACACACATTAGCTAACTAGCAGCCTCTCTGTGTGTGTGTGTTTGTTTGTTTTTTTTACACATACATGAGGCTATTTTTTACTTCCACTGTAAAAAAAAAAAGAGGTTTTTAATGTTCAGGATCATACAGTGGTGACCGTGAGTGTGGTCTAAAAAACGTCATTATTATTGACAGGCATTTCCTCAGGTCAAATACATAAGCTAAGATATCATGCTAATTTTCATTTATAGGGTGTAATGTTTTAAACTCTTAACTAAAAAATCCTCAGATCTCCAAGGAAGTTTGCTTAAACTGTCCTGCTTAGCTCATAAGAGTGCATCCAGTGTAGAAGTGACATTGTAAATTTCAGGGAACTTTGAGTCCATGTAAGCCATTAAATCTGCACCTTATCTAGGCTGGGGTTATTTATAGTACATGGGTCTAATTTATGGTTGCTAATAAAGTACTGATATCCTTCTCCCCTTCCAAAATACTAAATTAATTGCATGTGACTTATTGACAAGATTAAGTTCAAAACTTGCTTGTTGCACAATTGTAGTAAAAAAAAAATTCCAATAGGTGCCTAAGTTAATTTCAGACTCCAGCTTGCCAGTGTTATCTCTAATTACTTACAGAGCTTTGCATACAGTAGTCGGCCACAGGAAAAGAACAGAGCAGAGCAGTTATGGCAGCAGGTATGATACTGATTAAGCAGGTTGCCAAGTGGCTTGCAGATGCACAACAACTCTGAGTAGGTTAAAGCAGCTTAAATAAATGAAGATGATCAACTGGATGTGTACAGGGGTATAAACTGAGCTGTGAGCTGCTGTGAGCTAGCTGATTGGGATTGTCTCTGTGGCCTGCCTGAATTAGTGCTGTGCTTGATTTAGCAGGTTCTTCTAATTTAGTGTAAGCCATTAGGCATACTTAAGCAGACACCTGATCTATCTATCTATCTATCTATCTATCTATCTATCTATCTATCTATCTATCTATCTATCTATCTATCTATCTATCTATCTATCTATCTATCTATCTATCTATCTATCTATCTATCTATCTATCTATCTATCTATCTTGCTCGCAATGCCTTCACTTCAGTGCTATCAGGAGGATGCAGATCTTGTTGTTCATGAATGAATAAATTCAACCCATTTTCACCCCTCTTTTCAGTCACGTCTCATGCAAGTTAATCCCAGGTTAGAATGCGAGATTTCCTTTGCTCTACACTTAAAAAAAAGACTTTTGAAAAACTCGAAAAACAATGTAACCCTAACTTCTTTGCATGGAGTTTGCCTCATGCCACTCCAAGCAACAGTGGCCTACTCTGTGCTAAGCCTCCTTAAATCCCTCCACTGCACCGGCAGGCACGTTGGCTGTTAACTAAACTTGCTAACCTGTCAGCCACTAAACCGTCACATAAAGGCCCCATCATGCCTTAAGAAGACTATGCATGTCATATTATGGTAAAAGCTATTACCATTTACTGTATTCACACTGTGGGATTTTAGCAGAAGAGCAAAGGAATACAAAGTGGATGAGGGTTTATGTCAGTAAATGAGAGAAAGGAATTATGGGATGTGTGATTGGTATTAATGCAAGTGTTGACAAATGAAACAATCCACCCTTGCAGTGTACTTGTTTGTTTGTGGAGGGGATTTGACGGTTTTGCGTGACGTGTCAGTGTCACGTTCCATCATCTTTGCCCCCCTCTCCCTCTCTCTTCTCTCGTTCTTTTTCCTGCATCTTTTCCCCATGTTCCCATCCTTTTCCTCTTCCTCTCCCTGTTTATTTTTTTTTTGTGTGTGTCTCCCAATAAGAGTGTGTGACCGCTGTAGTCTGTTTGTTGACATTCTCTCCGCTCTCCACATTTACAAGGCTGAGAGATTTACACTGACCCTCACCCCAAATGCCTAGTCCAACTTCCTTGCCTTTTTTTTCTTCTTTTCTTTTGTGTTATGTTCTACACACACACTTTACATACAGGAAAAGTAGGTGAAAAGCCTTATTTAGATGACAAATGTTAAATTTTAAAAAGGAGCAGAAACGTTTGGCAGGAAAAGAAAGTCCAGAAATTTTTGTAGCAACTGAATGAGGGGAAGGAATGTATGAAGGAGGGAAGAGTAGAATCAGATAAAAGAAAGGATGAAAGAGCAGTGGGAAGGAAGGATAGGAAGAAACAGGATGGTGAGATGTTGAGCTGAAATGCATATCCCAGCTGCTGGACTGAAATAAAAGCAGAAGAATTCTTATGAAAACATGACCGAGACAGGTAGATAGTGATAATACCTACGAAATCTGATCTTTATTCAAGAGCTTCCTAATCATCAATCCAGAAATTAGACCTCAAAGCCTCGCTGGAAACTTTTCTATTTGAAGGGAATGGGTTTAAAAGTCCCATTTCTCTCTGTATTCCCATCAACCAACATCAGGCACAGCTGTTAAAACACACAGCAAGACTCCTTCTCTGCATCCTCCTCTTCGCCTTTCTTCTGTTCTTTTTTTGGTGTCGCCTCCTTTTTTCGCGTGTGTTTATGTTCACCCTCATCTAAAACAGAGCAAATGTCATGTGTGTTGTTTCTTTTTGGGGCTGAGTTGCACAAAAGAAAAAAAAAATCCACGGTAGAGAAAAATAAACTGTAGACGAAAGAGCAATGAAGTTCTCAGAAAGGGATGATGGATGATGTTAGCGGGTGTCAAAACAGATTTTGTCTTGGTTCGGGGTGTTTTTGGTTTTTTTTTGGTCCATCTTTAGCTGTTAGCGGTCATCACTGTGGGATTCCTGCACCCCAATTCCCACAGACTGACTGTCAGTCAAGCAAAATTCTTCTACATGGACTCTTTCTGTCTTTGATTTATTTGTTTTTTAAAACGTTGTATTTT